GCGAATATATCAAACCTGTTTGATTCGGGCGAATCATTCGGCCGAATGACAGTGGACACACTAGGCGAATTTCGACGCCGATATTTTGAACGTTCTGCGACAATGCGAAATGTCCGAAATCACCGAAAGTGTCGTATGTTGTCGTCGCCCCGTCCTCCCGTCCGGCGTCCACAAATGCTTGTGGACGCTCCAGAGGCTAAAGTTAATACCCGTTTGACTTTAAATTTATACACAGTGTTTAAGGTCATGAGATGAAGAATCTTATTGATTTTCAGCGACTTGAAATTTATACACAGTGTTTGAGGTCATGAGACGAAGAAACCTATTGATTTTCAAGGATTTCCGATAATTACTGCCAGTGGCTAAAGATAATATCCGATTGACTTTAAATTTAAACACACTTTGATATTGTGGATGCTCTAGAAGTGACTTTACTTGATTGACTTTAGATTGATACACAGAGTTTAAGGTCTTGAGATGAAAAAGTATATTGATTTTCAATGAGTTTTGATAACCTGAACAGTTAAATCCATGATATTAAATGCTTCGTATACTTAACGTTAGCATGGGGCAGAGCTAAAAGTCAAACAAATTCTAATGATTCTCTTATAATTACTTAATAAGTGGTTACTCTTAATCAGTTTTTAGTGTATTATAAATGTTTCATTACCGACAGTAGAAAAAATATGCGACAACTGTTGTTGACTCTCTGACGACTTAGCTGCTGTGGGCGTGTTTCGTTGCCTGGCAACCTATCTTTTAAAATATTGCAGTAATTTTAATAATAATCGTTGGATTTTAACTTTCGATACATTTTAGCATAGCCAGAGACAGGGCACATAGCTACGCTACTTTTCATTTTTGATTTTCGCCAAATCTTCACAGATATTAGGCGCCAAATTTAGAAAATTTAAATTTTTCAAAAAACTTTATTTATGGATATTTATTGGTGGTATTTTACACAGAATTAAAGAGTCATCTGACTTGAGCAAAAATGTGAAATTTTTTTGTCTCAGTAATTTTGCTTGGCCGCCATTGTCTAATTCAGTTTTTCAGTCCTAGATTAATTATTTTTTCTTCGATTTGTGTAAAACAAAGTTCATATGCTTCTTTGTCTAAATTGTCATTTTTTATTGTTATCGACAGACTTTCCTGTCGACACAGGAAGTAGCATAATTTTACCAAAAACTGCAATTTTGACAGTTCGGTACCACTTTTCGAAAGCAAATAATATTTTATTTTAAAACTGATTTAAGTAAAAGAGTGTGCCTTTTAAAGGCGAACAAAATAGTGAGCTCAGTTTTTTTAAATTTTGATTTCATTTTCGGGCAAATTCGATTAAATGTTGAAAAAAGGTGTAAAATTGAGCTATTTACAACCCATTCAGGCTGTTCAGATTTTCAAATATTTCTTTTATAAACTTGTAGCTATAATCCATACGAAGAAAATGTATGTTAAAATTAGTTTGTAATATAAGCAGTTGCCTAGAAATAGGCAATTTTGCATAAGTCACTGTTTTCGTTATTTTGCCTGTAAAATAGTCAATTATTATTGGATTTTCATAAAATGGAACACCATTTGATGCCTAATGTCACTTTTGATTTGGTCAAACCAATTTAACCTTTTCACTGTCACCGAAAGTGACGCCATTTTGTCAAAAACTGTATTTTTTAACCATTAAAATCAAGATTTTTTCCAACTAAGAATTATTTGATATGTATTAAACATTTCAACTTTTGGTTTAAATCAACATGTGAATAGAATTCCTACGGTCATATAGATATCACAAAATGGTTTCTAACTTGTTCAGTTGCGGGGAAATAGACGATTTTCTACAAGTCACTTTTCATGGTTTTTGGCCCATAAAAGTGTCAATTATTATCCGATTTTCATAAAATTGACACCATGTGATGCCTAATGTCATTTACGATTTTCTAAAAGTAATTTAAGATTTTCACTATCACCGAAAGTAATGTCATTTTGGCAAAAACTGTGTTTTAAGCCTCGAAAACAATATTTTTGTTGTAATGAGTTATATTTATTATTCTTTTAAAAGTATGATATTTGATTCCAATGGACAAATAGTATAGGTCAATACGATCATATCGATATCAAAAAATTGTTTTTAACATCTTCCCTTGCCGAGAAATAATCATTTTGTCAAGGTATCTTTTTACGAGTTTTTGCATTTTAATTCGAGTTTATGGGCTCTGGGTTAATTAATTATTGCCTGATTTGTGTAAAAGAAAAGCTCATATGCCCTCAACGTTTTTCTACCGATATAGTTTTCTGTCGGCACCGAAAGTGACATAATTTTGTCCAAAACTTCAATTTTGACGTGTCGAAATGTCTTTTCAAAAGAAAATATTAATGTTTACAAATCTAAAAGATCAAGATGAATGCTCCTACTAAAGACGCAAAATGTTTTGGGATTTTTATATTTTAAAATATTTCTTGACAACTTTTATAATCCTGTAGCAATTATCCAAACGAAGACATTGTATGTCAAAATTAGTTTGTAATATTAGCAGTTGTCGAGAAATAGGCAATTTTGCATGCATCACTTTTCACGTATTTTGCCCGAAAAAGAGTCAATTATCATTCGATTTTCATTTTTTTTTACCATTTGATGCCTATTTCCAAGTTTGACTAGGTCAAACAAATTTAACATTTTCACTGTCACGTCATTTCGAAATAAACCTGTATTTTTAGCCTTCAAAACAGATATTTTATTCAAATGAGTCTGATTTGTAATGTTTTTAAAATTATGATATTTGATTCCAATCAACAAATAGAATGAACCAATACGACCATACAGATACCACAAAATGGTTTCTAATTGTACGGTTGCAGAAAATAGACGATTTTCTACACGTCACTTTTCAAGGTTTTTGGTCTATAAAAGTGTCAATTATTATTGATTTTTCATAAAAATTTTCACCATATGATGCCTTATGGCATTTATGATTTCATATAACTATTTTAACATTTTCATTATCACTGGAAGAAATTTCATTTTGGCAAAAACTGTAGGCCTATTTATAGGCTTCAAAACAAATATTTTTTTAAGTGAGTTATATTTATTATTCGTTTACATTATATTTGATTCCAATGGACATATAGACTGGATCAATGAGATCATATAGATGCTTCTAGCATCTTCCCTTGTCGAGAAATAACCAATTTTGTCAGGATCACTTTTTAAAAAATTTTCGCATTTTAATTTCCCAGTAGATAGTCAGCTAACTTAGCGGTAAGTTAGTAACACATTTTGTCAGGATCACTTTTTTGACATATGTGAAATGAAATGAAATGAAATGGGGTTTAACGTCCTACTGTTTTGCTCCGAACTGGGCTAATGAAGACGGGCATACGCCATACAGTGTGCTATGAGGGAAATTGTGCCCGGACAGCGGCACTACGGCCTACTCTTATATCGAATTCCAACTGTCAAGGGATCTTTTACGTGCACGCCAATGTGTACACGGGACCTCGGTTTTTCGTCTCATCCGAATGACTAGACAGCTGTCCTTGCCAGGCCCTCCGTCCTGCATCACTGACAAGGGGGAACCACGCCGGAAAATCTGGATGAATTCTCGGCCAATGCAGGGATCGAACACCCGACCTCCAGGCTAGCGAGCCATCGCCTTACCCACTTAGCCATCGTGATCCCCTTTGACATATGTAACACATGGTAACAAATGTATAAATGGAATTGATATTGCTTGATTTTGTTGATTCTGCGTCCGTTTTATAACACGTGTACAATGCTTATGTGGAAATCTGTTTAACGATTTCATTGGTACCGGAAGTGACGTAAGTTCAAGGGTAACGTAGCACCCGTGAAACCCGTCATTACTGCCTCGCAGTTCTAGTTATTATTATTAGTAGTAGTAAGTAAAAGTTGGGGAGGTTTATTTGTATAGGCCGTGGCTGTCCTTCCATCTCAAATTTATTTCCAGAGCATATCTTATGAAACTTTGTACACACATCGGGCTATTCTCAGTTCAATCATTTTTGTGTTGGCAAATTAATATTTTACTTAGTTTCTGGTATGCAATTATTAGCCCACAGCAAATCACAGAAATCATTCAAGATATCTTATGAAACCTTATAAAATATTGTTTTAAACTCGCATCATTTATATATCTAGAATTTGTTTTCTTTCTTTTGATAATTTGACCGTGTGATCTAAAAAGAACAGTGGTGGTAGTTTGTAATTGAACTCTTATTTATGGTCACTATAGAGAGAGAGAAATGGGGTTTAACGTCCACTCAACACAAACTAGGCCATTTTGGGACTAACACATGGTTCAATTTTATTCCAATAATTCGCTTGCGCGTAGGGGTCTATAGTAGTGTGAGGAAACCGGAGGACAGGGAAAACCCACGAGGTTGGGCAGGCAACCCTACTCCTTGTCGCCTACAACATGGGAATCTAAACCACGCCAGTTGACTCAATGACAGCAGGGGCGGATCCAGAGGGGAGGGGGGCGGACAGGACGGGGACTGAAAGCACTAGATAATGATATAGACATTATGTGATATCACAAAATTGACGTCAAACGGCACGGGGGGGGGGGGGGAGATACAAAAATTCTTGGATCCGCCCCTGGACAGACCTTATGATACAGCGCGCACATGCTAACCATTCGGCCATACACCCTGCCCCCCCCCCCTGCCCCCTCCCCCGCCCCCCCATGTCCACTATAATCAGGTAGCATAATTGGGATGCCCAATACTGTTTGCTATACAAATGGCTTTATGAATATTACAAAAAAATATATTATTAATCTAATGACAGTCTGTGATGATTAAAATCTGATATAAAATTATTTTGCCAATATATCTTGGATGAAAGGATGTAAAAGGGACAAAAAAAAGAAGAAAATTTGATGTACATGTATATGAAGTCAAGCGTGATGTGGTGTCCTATATGATATGCAGGGATCATCAAATAATTAGCTGCAAGTCTTATCTTACTTTTATTTTTATTTCAGATTCATTTAAATGATGAAGATTTTGATAATTTATTTAAGATGCCGCGAGATAAATTCTACAAATTGGCTGAATGGAAGCGCAACGACATAAAGAAAAAGTTAGATTTATATTAAACTTTATCAGCTTGATCGACTGTCACTAACCATATTAATTATTAAAATATAATTTTTCTAATAACATGAATAAATTCACAAGTTATTATTTAATGAGAATATTGAGAATTGCTTTTACTATTACAATTACAAGACCAGCTTAAATACATTGTGTGCAATCCATCTTTTCTATTTTCTGAGCGAAATATAATACATGTATATAGTTGTATATATTTTAATATCCAAATCTGTTGTGTTGATGCTTGTGAAGAGAGGAGTAATGAACTTTTAATTACCATAAAAAGACGAAAGGACATATCCATCTGTTATGCATTATAATTTGTTGTGAGACAGATGCCTTCCATGTGTATTTTTATATGCCCACATTGAAATGTGGTCGTATATTGTCGTCGCCCCCGTCCGTCCGTCGGTCCACAATTGCTTGTGGACGCTCTAGAGGCTAAAGTTAATATCCGATTGACTTTAAATTTATGAACAATGTTTAAGGTCATGAGACGAAGAAGCATGTTGATTTTCAGCGATATCCGATAATTACTGCCAGAGTTATGGCCCTTGATCACTTCAAAAAATCTTGTGGACGCTCTACAGGCCAAAGTTAATATCCGATTGACTTTAAATTTATACACAGTGTTTAAAGTCATGAGACGAAGACGCCTATTGATTTTCAGCCTTTTCCGATCAGTACTGCCAGAGTGTTCAAAGTCATGAGACGAAGAAGCCTATTGATTTTCAATGAATTTTGATAACTTGAACAACTAAATCCATGATATTAAATATTTCGTATACTAAAAGTTAGCATGGGGCAGAACTTTATAAAAACCAAATAAATTCTAATGATTTTCTAATAATTACTTAATGAGTTGTTACTCTTAATCAGATTTTAGTGTATTATAAATGTTTCATTACCGAAAAAAGTAAAAATATGCGACAAGTCTTGTTGACTGCCCGGACGATTTAGCTGCTGTGGGTGTATATTTCGTTGCCTGGCAACCTATCTTTTCCATTATATGTTCATTAATGTTTGTACATTTTTTTGATTGTAATATGTGCTACTGCTTTGAGTTCTGACCTAGTCCATCTTTTAGCTTGTAAATCCATGCAAATTATATCTTTTAGCATTTTGGTTTATTTTTGATTATTTATCTAAAGGATTAAACAGGCAATTTTAATTAACTTTTTTTAAGTATTATTTTTATTGGGTCACAAGTATTTTATATTGTACATGGGTAGGTTAATACCGCTGGTAGATAGTTCTAAAAAGTTTACAGGCCATGAACATTCTGCGTTTTATGGCTCACAGATTATGGAGTTCTCTGTCCTGTCATATTGACTTTTATGGTCCTTGATCACTTCAAAAAATCTTGTGGACGCTCTGGAGGTCAAAGTTAATATCCGATTGACTTTAAATTTATACACAGTGTTTAAGGTCATGAGACGAAGAATCTTGTTTATTTTCAACGATTTTCGGTAATTACTGCCAGCGTTATGACCCTTGATTACTTCAAAAAATCTTGTGGATGCTTTAGAGGTCAAAGTTAATATCCGATTGACTTTAAATTTATACACAGTGTTTAAGGTCATGAGACGAAGAATCCTATTGATTTTCAGTGATTTCCGATAATTTTGCCAGAGTTATGGCCCTTGATCACTTTGAAAAATCTTGTGGACGCTCTAGAGGCTAAAGTTAATATCCGATTGACTTTAAATTGATAAACAGTGTTTAAGGTCATAAGACGAAGAACCCTATTGATTTTCAGCGATTCCGATAATTTTTGCCAGAGTTATGGCCCTTGATCACGTTGAAAAATCTTGTGGACGCTCTAGAGGCTAAAGTTAATATCCGAATTACTTCAGATTGATACACAGAGTTTAAGGTCTTGAGACGAACAAGCATATTGCTTTTCAATGAATCTTTATGACTTGAACAGCTAAAGTTTTGTATACTAAACGTTAGCATGGGGCAGAACAAATTCTAATGAGTTGTTACTCTTAATTAGATGTTAATGTATTATAAATGTTTCATTACCGAAAAAAGTAAAAATATGCGACAACTCTTGTTGACTGCGCGGATGATATAGCTCCTATTCGTATGTTTCGTTGCCTGGCAACCTATCTTTAACCTTGGTGGGATTATTCAGATCATTTTAATATGGCCAATACAAATTTCAACATTGGTTCAACCCCAAACTATATCATGTAAACGAGAAGTCCCAGGTTTCATAGGATACTATGAATAAAAGTGGGTTTAAGTATGTAACTCTAAACACCAAAATATGATGAAATAGTATGGTTTCGCTAAATTTGCTTCACAGGGTTATATAACCCATTTAAGGACCTACATTGTTCTATAGCATGTATGACTTGGCAATTGTGACGATCTCTAACCACTGTTAATTAATTAAGCAAGTATATATAGACTTGTGGACTTTATTTCCAATCCTACATGGAAATTGAAAGATTCGGATATGTACACAGAATAAAGATAAGCGTTCTGATGCATTTTTTGCACAAGATTAATGTGTTTTATTCAATAAAATATATTTGACACTGCTCCATTAAGAAAATGATCCCATCCTTATATCTGAAAAGGGTTAGCATTCCCTTACCTTACTCCTGAACTGGTCTAGCACATTACATGGGAGTTAATCATATCTCTCCCTGTGTTAAGGTAACAGATAATTTATTGTGCATCTGAAATTTAAACCTACTACATCCACAACAGACTTTAATAATTAGATGCTTGTTGATGATAAGGATTTTATTATGTAGCCAATACATGAATTTGAAACACAGAAAAATTAACAAATGATCAGATATATCAAAACATACCTGTTACTTAGCAGGTATTTTTTTCATGTGGCTGAATTGCCAGCATGATGAAAAAATGTCTGTAAAGCAGTGGACAAACTAGCCGAATGATTCGGCCGAATCAATCGGCGTCGAAATTCACCAAGTGCGGTGCCAATTGTAGAATTCATTCGCCAATCACTATTCATCATCCACTCATATCTAGAAGTTACGTAATTATTTGAAAACATGCTCGCCGCCATGGTTAATCATGTTACGTGAAAGATGATGCAATTGACTGGTGAATCGGGCGAAGGATTCGCCTAGTGTGTCCACCCATTAGCTTAATAAAATGTGGCGCCGATTTATTAGGCCGAATGATTCGGCTAATGTGTCCACCGCTTTCAATCATAATACAGGTCACACTACCCTAAATCCAAGCTTCTGGTGTTAGCTTTCATTATTGTGCCAAATAAAATCAGCGGCTGCCAGGCAGGATACGCCCACATTTTGCAAGAGATGGATAGAGAACACGCTAAAAACAAAAACCATTTATTGAACAATCAGGCCCATAATCCAGAAATACGCAAATATCAAAAGGGACTGAGATTTTTGGAATATAAAGATATGTTTTAAGTTTCATCAAAATCGGAAAAAAAAATGTGACCTCTAGAGGGTCCATAACCTTTGTATTACATACTTATAAACAATTTGCGTACAAAGAGCGGCCATTTTGTCGGGCAGTTTCATTTCGATTTTCCCGAAATTCCTATTCAACCTTCATTATGGTGGAATGGTGATATATCTAAACGGTTATTAAAATCGGAAAAAAATTGTGACCGCTAGAGAATCCACAAGCTAAAAATACGATTTTCGACCAATCAGGGGCCATAATCTAGGAAGTTACGTTCGGATATGTGTGATTATCAAAAGGAACCAAGATCTTTATGATAAAAACATATATTTAAAGTTTTATCAAAATCGGATAAATACTGTGGCTTCTAAAAGGTCCACAACCTTGATATATCATATTTTACACTATTTGCGTACAAGAGGTGGCCATTATCAGTTTTGTCCGATTTTCACGAAATTGGAACTCAATCATCATCAGGGTGTAACGGTGATATACTAAAACGGTGTTTTAAATTGGATAAAAATTGTGACCTCTAGAGGGACCACAATCTAAAAACGCGATTTTTCGTACAATCAGGGGTCATAATTCAGGAAGTTACAATCCGATATGCGCCAATATCGAAAGGAAACAAGATATTTGGGTTATAAACATGCATTTCAAGTTTCATCAAAATTGTGACCTCTAGAGTGTCCACAAGCCAAAATCGTAATTTTTCGTACAATCAGAGGCTATAATCCATGACAATATGGTCCGATACATGCCAATATCGAAAGGAACCTAGATCTTTGGGAGATAGACCTATATTTCAAGTTTCGTCAAAATTGGATAAAAATTGTGACATGTAGAGTGTCCACAAACAAATTGTGAACGGACCTCCGGACGGAAAGGGGCGACGACAATAACGTCCACATGAAAATGTGGGCGTATAATAGGAAACATTGACTGCTTTGTATAAGGATTAGTGAAAATTTCAAAAGATGAGCATATGTTATTAGTATTCATACTGAGATAAAGATGTACAAGTATCATCATCTTCATATACTCCCCAACATAATACATTATCATCATCTGGTTGATTCATATCTTCATTTACCTATAAGATAATACAAACACTCTCCAATATTGTTGTAAAGAAGGGTAAATTACCTTGAATTAATTAAATATGACCAGATGGCATTTACATCGGGACTGCCGAGTAGATATTATGGGAGTGGTTTGATGGTAACTCAACAACTAAACGGACCATCCAAAGTGCGATCACACGAGGAACGGGGCCGCGCCCGTCAAGCAATTCTAATGCATCTGAGACACGTAGTTAAGACGCTTTTAAAATGGAAAATAACATTACACTGAGGTAAAGTATTAGTCCTAAAGTCATCACGTTTATATTCAGAGGCAGCTCGTATTTCGGGTAGACTAATCACCGGAATTCATTTACAATCACCGGAATTCATTTACAATCACCGGAATTCACTTCTAAAATCCCCGATTCCTCCCACAAAACTCACTTACTTTAAATGTATAATACATTTTGATCTCTCCGCAGGCCAGAAAAAAAAGGCGCTGTAGGTGAATTTATTTGAAAGACTACCGGAATTCATTTCAAATATATGCATCATGATAATGATAACGTAGGGCGCGTCGTATTACCCAATAGGCCGAACTCCAAAATCACACATAATAACAATTTGCTTGGAATTACCCAATAACTCCAAAATAACAGTCAATAACCCCAAAAATGTTGACTGTGGAAACACAATATAACAATTTAGTTGAATGTAAGAAGCCTCGCTGATTTGTGCCCAAATCGGAGGTTCACGGGAGATAACTCGTGTATACTTTCGTTGCAATTCGTTGTAATGTATTGTAATAAAAGATTGATAATAGTTTATTAAAATAAACAATTTAATATTATAGCTATATTTATTTATTTATAATTGCATATTGCGCCGATTGTCACTTTCGGTCATCGACATCGTAACTTATTTAGAAATAAATAAATTCTCATTCTCATAGTTTATGTTTTTTTAGAAATAAATAAATTCTCATTCTCATGAATTCCGGTGTTTTAAAGTAATTTATTATTATTGTAAAATATTTGCGATCGAGTACGAAGGTCTGAAGTGCGAATTCCGATATTTGAAAGTTAATTCCGGTGTTTATATGTTTTCAATTTGAATTCCGGTGATTTTCGGTGTTTAAAAATAATTTATTATTAATGTAAAATATTAGTAAATACGAAGGTCTTAAGTGCGATTTTCGATATGTTGAAAGTGAATTCCGATGTTTATATGTTTTCAAAATGAATCCCGGTGATTTAAAGTAATTTATTATTAATGTAAAATATTAGTAAGTAAGTACGAAGGTCTTCAGTGCGAATTCAGATATGTTGAAAGTGAATTCCGGTGTTTATATGTTTTCAATGTGAATTCCGGTGTTTATGTGTTTTCAATGTGAATTCCGGTGGTTTTATGGGTTTTAAATTTAACATTAATATTAAAGGTCACCGGAAAGCATCATTTTTTTTTTAAATAATGCAAGTAACAATGTCAACATATCCTTTCCATAAGTATAACCCGAACCCTAATGTCTATATTACCTGCAAAGGGTAAATTTCAACATTAGTGATTTCCGCCGTTCTTCGAGGGTAGTCGTAACTTTCCGTCAATAAGCAATCCGTGACGTCATTTTAGTCCTTCTGCACATAGAAATATAGTCGACTAGAATATGAGCAGAAGGACTAAAATGACGTCACCGATACGGAAAGTTACGACTACCCACGAAGAATGGCGGAAATTACTAATGTTGAAATTTACCTGTTGCAGGTAATATTGAAATTCGGGTTCGTGTTATACTTATGGAAAGGATATGTTGACATAATTACTTGCTTTATTTAAAACAATTATGAATCTTTTCCGGTGACCTTTAATGGAAAATATAAGTAAATAGGAAGATTGTACAGGCGAATTCTGATATCTCCAAAGGGAATTCCGGTGTATGGATTTGGTCAAATAATATTGTAAGTTAAAATTAGGACTGAAATGCTGATAAAAGAGGCTTTTTGATGAATTACAATAATGTTCTACACATAATTGTTTTAAAACATCTCAAATTTGACGAGTTACGAGATTTTCTCCACACATGTTGACAAGCTAGCAGAGATCAACCACATCAATAGTACTATCCAGCAAGGGCTTGACGACAACAACACCAAACCATTCTGGCGGTATATCAAATCCAAACGACAAGACAGTATTGGTATAGCACCCCTCAAGAAAATGGGTAACTTAGTCAGTGGCAGCAAGGATAAAGAACAAATCTGTGTTCACCAATGTAACGGACACTCTGGCTTTAGCTAAATCACAGAAACCAGTCATAACATCGATCCCCTCCCTTAACATCACTACAAAAGGAGTCGAAAACCTATTGAAGAACATGAATGAGCGGAAGGCGACTGGACCAGACAAAATAGCCAACACTATTCTGAAGACCTGTAGTAGCCAACTTGCTACTGGCCTCCGTGAGATATTCCGACTATCAATCAACTCCCACCAGACTGGACTAATGCCAACATTGCACCAGTCTTTAAGAAAGGGGACGTCCACCTACCCGAAAACTATCGACCTGTTTCCCTGACTTGCGTGACTTGCAAGCTATTAGAACACATCATTTGCCGGCACATCCTTACACATCTTGAAAGGAACAAGATACTGACCTGTCTTCAGCACGGTTTCCGCTCGGGATACTCCTGTGAGACACATCCAGAAACACGACGCCAACAACCAAATCGACATGGTTATCCTAGATTTCTGGAAGGCCTTCGACACCGACCCTCACGAGAAACTTCTCCACAAAATTAGAAACTATGGAGTAGATGGCCCTCTAAACGACTGGTTAAGAAAGTTTCTGACCACTAGACACATGCAAGTTGGCATTGAAGGAGAATTCTCAGACCCGGTAACAGTTGACCCAGGAGTCCCCCAGGGAACGGTACTCGGCCCGCTGCTCTTTCTGTGCAACATAAATGACCTTCCGGAAACCGTTAAATCACAAGTCCGACTCTTTGCAGATGACTGTCTGCTTTACCGCACCATCAAATCTCGACGGGACCATCAAACCCTTCAAAATGACCTCTCAGCTCTTGAAGACTGGGCCAATGCCTGGGGAATGAGATTCAATGCAAAGAAATGCTATATCATGAGCATCAATAGTAAGTCTACTAACTTCTATACTCTAAACAATGTCATTCTTCAGCAAGTAAAAAAAAAACGTACCTTGGAGTTACACTCTCTGAAGACCTTAAGTGGGACACCCCCATTACCAGGCTAATAAAGAAGGCGAACTCCTCAGTGGGATTCCTTAAGCACAACCTCAAGTACTGCCCACAAACATGTAGAAGATCAGCCTACTTAGCGTTAGTTCGTTCCACTCTGGAGTACAGTTCAGTTGTCTGGGACCCCTACTTACAAAAGAATATAAACAGACTTGAGAGAGTCCAACGCCAAGCTGCAAGGTTTGTTTCCGGCGATTACAAATCTAAAGACGAAGGCTGCGTCACAAGGATGATAAAGGACTTAGAGCTCCCATCCCTTCAAGACAGACGGAAGATGATCCGCCTCACTTTCTTCTACAAGGTGGTTGAGGGGCTGGTCCCAGCTTTCAATTGTGATAACTATTTAACTCCCGCCAAACCCAAACGCCGAATTAAAGCAAAACAGAATTCTGACTTTATAGTTAAAAACATAGTTGAAAACCATTTAACAAACAATTCAAAATGTTTTAAAACAGTGGTATGCAAAACTGATCTTTACAAACACTCATTCTTCCCAAAGACAATTATTGATTGGAACCACCTGGATGATAGCATAGTGCGCGCTCCATCAAAAGAGAGCTTTAAATCAGCTCTATCAAGAACCTAACCCACTCACTCTCCCGTCGCGTACATGCTGTAACAACCCCTGCGACGTACAGATTCAGATGTCGAGTAATCTCCCTTTGATGGTCAAAATATCGGATTTACAAATCATATTAAATGTAAATATTGTCATTGTATAAAGTGACAAATCACATACAATCACAACATAATAAACTATCATAACATGAGAATACTCTGAACAAAGACAATTCGTTCGTTCGTTTCTGGGGTTTTACGTCCACTTCCACCTAAGGTGATATCGTAGACAATTAATTGTCAGCGGAACTTATTTAAATTGATTTCATTTATTTACTTCAAAACAAGTTACGATGTCGATGACAGAAAGTGACAATCGACACAATTTGCAAGTATAAATAAATAAATATAGTTATAATATTAAATTGTTTATTGCACTATATATACCATAATATGTTTCATGCATATAATTACTGTTTTAATAAACTATTAATCAATCTCTAATTACAATTCATTACAACGAAAGTATACATAAGTTTCTAGTCAACAAAAATCACATACACGAGTTATCTCCCGTGAACCTCCGATTTGGACAAAAACCAGGCACGCTTCTTAAACTCATACTAAATTGTTATTTTGTGTTTCCAGTCAATATTTTTGAAGTTATTGTCCCCCGCCTTTCGAAGAAAGCAGGGGACTATTAAAATGGGTTCGTCCGTCTGTCTGTCCGTCTGTCTGTCCGTCACACTTTTTGGGACACAATAACTCTCTTCCTAATTGAGCTAGAATGTTCAAACTTGGTGTATGTGTTTATTAGGTCAATGCCTTGATGGAGTTCGAAGATGAGCATTTTCCGCTTAGGGTAAGCAGAGATAAGCAATTTGATTGGTTGATGCTTTGGGACACGATAACTCTCTTCCTAATTGGGCTAGTATGTTCAAACTTGGTGTATGTGTTGATTAGGTCAATGCCTTGATGGAGTTCGAAGATGAGCATTTTCCGCTTAGGGTAAGCAGAGATAAGCAATTTGATTGGTTGATGCTTTGGGACACGATAACTTTTAATTGAGCTAGAATGTTCAAACTTGGTGTATGTGTTTATTAGGTCAATGCCTTGATGGAGTTCGAAGATGAGCATTTTCCGCTTAGGGTAAGCAGAGATAAGCAATTTGATTGGTTGATACTTTGGGGCACGATAACTCT